ATATATACATATATATATATTCATTTTTTCTAAATTCTAAAAATTATTAAGAAGCAATCAAATAATCATCACAAAACTGTCGCTTATAAGGCTCGATAAAATCCTTCACAATAAAATATCATTCACTCATCCTATCTGTGTACTCTATCGAGTCCATGCGGATCGCGCAGGTGGTGCAATAATTACCTTCCCGGTGCGATAATGCCAGGTGATAACGTTAACTCTCGCATTCGTCGTGCGGCCTTCGCCCTTAGCGACAGATAAATGTCTGATAACGCGGATAAATTGGCCGGATTGTAATTGTCGTTGTGCGTGTTACCGGCATTCACATCGGGATGCGCCCGTTCCCGCCCACGAACGAAATTCACTTTCAACGACGGAAAATGCGGAGCTCGGGGCGAGCGAGCAGAGAGGGGAAAGAGGTTGCGAGAGGCGGGGGTGCGCGATTATACGCACGCGGCACTGCGCGACACAGTCAGCTCTATCAGCTCGGGGCCCGTGGGAATCCAGGTCCGTGCGGGGGTATCGCCAGCTGCGCGGAATTCAGGAAATCGTCGTAATGACGCGGCCAATATGCCAAATCTTTTCATGATTAATGACGCAGAAGCGATTTTGTAGCTCGCCCCCATGTGAATTGCTCTCGGACAGAACAAATTAGAATAGTTGAAGCCCGAATCGATGAGTGCGTCGTGGCACCTGCGGCTTATATTAATCGCAATACGCTAGTAAAAACTATTATAATAAGTACCGCAACACTTGAAAGTATAAATGAAAAATAATCGCGTATACAATTGCAGGCACTTTATTCGTAAGTTCCTCCTCTCTCTTTCACTAATCCTTTATCTTTATTAATTAAATATATTATTTCATTTTTTCTTAATTTATTAAAAACTTCACTCATTCTGATTATTGAAGAAATAACATTTAAGATTTACTTAATTAATTACTCATTTATCTACTTTTTTATTCATCTTTTGAGAAAGAATTGATTTCGAGATTGGCTGGTAATTTGTGTTGACAAGCATGTTAGTTTCGAAATAAATACAATTTTGCATGGTTCTTTTTAAGTTTAATATATTTTTTTAACTTAATGGGTAACCTACATATTTACACAAAGTTTATATTGATATATATATTACATATGTATACATGATATTATATATATCTAATATCCATATGATACATATATTTTACAAAACTCTCTCTCTCTCTCTCTCTCTCTCTCTCTCACACACTCTCTCACTCTCACTCTCTTCACTTAATACGTACTCCAGCGATCCTGTACGGCACTTAATCTTTTGGAAGAAATTTTACGCAGCTGCACTCATCTGTCTTTTTTTTTTTACATACGGGATAAGGCAGTTGTGATACAGGATGAATATGATATATCGCAATTTTTGTATATTTTTTTAAAGAATTAAAACATAATTAAATCCAATTTATAAATTATTAAACAATGATCTAATAACATAATTAACAACAATTAGTCCAATCAGACCTTACATGTTGATTTATTTAGAAATTTGAGAGAAAAAAATCAATCTCTGATATGCATGAAGTACATTGTTACGTATTGTCAAATAACGTAGTATAATGCTATAATAATTACAACGCAAATAATAGTGCATAACTCATTATGTAATGATACCTGGTTGCACTATGTATATTGCTATCCGTTAAATCTTATTTCGATGTTTTTTCCCTGAATCGCGAATAAAAATAAACAATGAAATGTCTCCTCATAAACTGCTAGCTGTAGTTTTCCGAAATATTGTACATGTGTATATATATATATATACATATAATTTATTTAATAACAACAAAATAATATTACATTTGTGTGTAATATTAAATAAAATATAATTAGGTAACACAAAAATATTATACATATTTATATATTAAAATATTTTTAAAAATTCATGAATGGAACATTAAATTTCTATTCTGTTATTTTTGTTAAATAATTCTGGAGAAATTCAATTATTCACTAAAAATTTGTATTAATTCAAAATCAAGTATATGTATTTTTGTCTTGAATTTTTTTTTAATTAAGAACGTATTTGAATAAATTAATTTTCACAATTTTAAAGTCTCTATATCTCTAAATCAAAAAGGTTGCGTACATTCAATCAGCAACTAATTATTATTGCATCTTATGTGAACGTCTAATTAGCGCTGAAGTCGTGTAAGTCAAAATGAATCTATCGATTGGACTAAGCTGCTGATCGAATATTCAAAATTGATAACATTAACCGATATATCATAACAAATATCCAAATGTATCAAATGTGTTTTCTATTCGAATACAGTGAATACACGTTACTCGAATCTTAAGTTCAGATTCTACAGAGTATCCCGGAAGAAAACACAAAAATAAAAGGATTCTTTGTTATAATGGAAAGCTTTAATTTTTTTTTTTAACTTTAGAATACATTAGCAAAAGCGTTTTCTCTCGGGATACATCGCATATTAAAATGTCTATCGAACTGTATGATCAACACGACTCCATGCTCTTGCAGTCCTGACAAACGAAATAATTTTCTGACTCATACAGGATACTATAGGTTCGTGGATGTTTACGTTAGTATCAAACGGCTTTTGGATGACCCTGAAAAGGTCTTTACAAAGGTATTTACAAAAATTTATAAGCTCTCACAGTTAATTGTCCGCCTTACGTAACGCTTCTTCCGCCTTTACTCTCAGCACTTCCGCGCTTTGCTTCCTAATCTCGTCGTCGGACGACGCCGAATCCTCCTCCCTGTCATTCTTCGAGCTTAGGTTTTGTGGTATGCTCTGCACTCCGAGATTCAAGGGATGACCGTGTATATGGCCGCCTAAGGAGTGTCCATTCACGCTGCTGTGATTTAGCGACGAACTCGGATTCAGGCCGACCGGAAGCATCGTGCCGAGTGATGCTAGATTCTGCGGCAAAGGCAGACCGATGTATTGCGACAGGAGCGCATGCAATGGCGGCAACTTGGGTGCGCTCGGTGGCCAGGGTGACGGGAAAACCGGAGGTATGAACCAGGGAAATGCGCCTGTCGGCGGACCCGAGGAGTCCGAGCCGGGAACGCCGCTCGCCGTTTGCAACAGCCGCGCGTGAAGGGACAACTCGTTGACACCTGTAAACAGAATTCCGATGGGCTTGCTTACTTCTTTCATGTTACTTCAAATTCTTTTTCGGACAAAACTAGATCGACTTTTCGTTTCTGAACAATTTATATTATTTTAACCCAGGAATAGTCACCCGAGATATTTTTATACCTCAGCAGCGAGAAAAGAAATTGTTATAAAATATTATTTTATATTAATATTGTTCAATATATCATTCACTTATTTAAAAAAAGTAACACAACTCAAGGACATAAAATTAAGTAAACCTTATTAATTGTCAAAAGTGAACTAACTTAATTTCATAAATCATCACAATTCTGAAAAAATGTTTCTTAAGAAAAAATCAAAATTATCATAATTTAAAAAGAGTGATTTTTTAAGAATTGTGAAACGAAAATAACATTTAATCAAAATATAATCATTTTACCAATATTATTATTTGATTAATCAAAAATTAATTCGAAAAATAGTTTTCTTCTTTCTCTGATAATTTTTAATTTTTTTAATTGTGTCAATTTTGAAAACAAAAAAACGATATTTTTTAAGTAATTATTCTTCACAAACCTTTAAATTTGCATTTAAAGATTTACTGTTTTAACTTTTTAATTATACTGTTTTAACTCTTAATCGACACAGTCGCAATAATTTCTCATTGATTTGTATTCATCACAATAATTTTTATTAGAATGTTAAATTGACGTTACACTACTTGGTTACATAAAAACTTTTTACTAAAAATGATTAACGTTTATACATTGGTTTATTTGTCATTTGATACATTGATAAATTATCATACAACAACTTTTAGAATATTTCTAGGAACTTGCACCATTGTTGATAACAAGATAATCATTCTACAAATTTTTGTGCACGTTATATAACGCGTGATTATGACTCAACAATATTTATATATATTCTAGTAATGCGTTTTAACTGTATTATAAGTTAATAAAATTATTTTTATATTTTTTTTTGTTTTTACATTGGGAGAGATCGAAAATGTTGGTCAAAATGTGTGCACAGTAAAAATTTTTTAATATATTTAATAAATATGATTTACTCACTGGCAGCCGGTGAATTCTTAATTGGCTTTTTATTATTACTTACTTCTTTATTTCTATTCTTAAAAACTATATATGTATATTTTCGTTTATATTGTTTAAATAAGTAATTTCTGTCAAAAACTTGCATTAAAAAAAAAATGTATATTAGTTAAAATTATATTAATTATATTGAAATCATTATTTTTTTAATGCTGTTATAATAAGCCATTTAATTACTTATTTCGTTTAATATTTATTTGATTTCTATTAATTTTTTTTTTAGAAAATTATAATTAAATCCATATCCATAATGTTCTCGAATACTAATATAAATTGTGGAAAACATTTAATTGATTTAATCATATATGTATAACATGATATCAATAATAGTGACTTTAATTGTGATATAAAACATCCTAAATGATAGTTAAAAATTAGGTGATTATTGAATTGATTATTGGAATAGGAGAGCTTCGTTTTCTTTCTCTTTATTATTTTTTTTTTTTTTTTCATTAGAAAATATGAAAGGGATTTCTTATAATTATTTTTCAGAAAGCAAACTATAATTAATAAATATGCATTTTATATGTTAATATATTAAAAAATAATTCATGAATAAAATATTTATTTATTTTTTGCTTATTAGAAAATAATATAAATTTTTCTGTTATTTTTGAATATTTCTGATAAAAATCTATATTCATTATGCTAAATTCGAAATACAAAAAGAAATTGAGAAGTCTTCTCGTTATGCGGTTAAATACAGTTAATAAACCTGATCATCATTATATGATATAGGAATACTGCAAAGTTAAAAAGTCATTAGACTATTTTTACTGCTAACATTACCCATTCGATATACAAGCTTTATTCAGAATGCTTCATGAAAAAATAATCGCGACTTTCTATTCTATATTATTTGCACGTGATAGCTGCGACAACCAACACTAAAATTAGACGTAATTGTCGCCGATTGCATCTACCCTTCGTAACTTGCGCCCTATCGTCCTCTCATGCACATATTAGCAAGCGTAACGCACACGTTACTATACAGCGAGGGAGCAACGATGAACGAAAATGAACTTTCACGATTATTTAATTATTTAAAAAAAGAAAAGCGAAGAAAAAAGGAAAGACAGCGAAAAAATTTATTATTGTGAAAAAGAACGGAAAAATGTGATCTCATTTTTTTATTTAAAAAACATTATTTATCTAAACCTAAGGATAACACAAATTATGTGACACGGAGAAATTTACATTTAAATCATATTATATTTCAAATAGTAAATAATTTTGCAAAATTAAATGTCTAATAATTAACAATCACATAAGAATACTTTTTTAAAATTTTTAAATTAAAATTTTCCCTTTTTATTTCGTTAGATATCGTATTGTTTCAGAGATCAATTTAAATTATTATCTTTCAACTCACCGCCTTGTTCAACGTGCATAAAACTCGTATCTCTACCTAAAGCTTTTTCCTTCTTGCGCCACTTTGCACGCCGATTTTGAAACCACACCTGAAGCAAAAGAAGAATATTTTGTAAGATAAACATTCAACGCAATCTCAAATAATTAGCAATAAAAATATTGTGCAATTGTTGCGAAATAATTGATTACGACTTTTTAAAAATTTAAATATTATTATAGTATAAATATTATTATAGTCTCAATTTGTTCAACCAAACTGTTAAAAAGCAATTCGTGATTTCTATTGATTACGAATTATTAGAACATATTCATCATATTAAGATATTCATCATGAAGATCCAAAATTGGCAGGAAAGGGAAGCTCATGAGAACTCCAAACACGCATATCAGAACAGCCAACAACAAAAGCTTGCTCTCGAAGTTGATTAAGCTAATTATTAACAATTATCCTGATTTCCTTCGTACCCCTGAGTGCTAGCAACCCTTGCCTCCGGCTTTATTCTTGTCTACCCCTGACGATCCTATCCGATTGCCGTATAAATACTTTCGCTTTCTACCCGAGCTGTTACGAATTTTCATGAGTGCCAGAAGAAATAGAGGAAAAGAAAAGAGAAAAAAAAAGGAGAAAGATTTTATTAGACTTTTATTCTGAGAAAAAACTGCGCAACATATATAGTAAGATATATAAAAATATGTGAATCTATATTTAAATATATATGTATTTAAAATTCTAAAAAAAGCCTAAATAGATATAAATAAATTGACGATAAGTACTTAAGCATATAATAATATTTAGTAGTTTTATATAATTAGTATTATAATTATTATAAATAATACCTATACTAGGTATATAAACTTAAATCCGCTGTTTGTTTATAGGTGGCATTAGTGAGCGTACAAAGCTATCCTGGGCAAACAACACACTTTTTTTTATGTGTTTGACATCTGTCAGCATTAATCAGTGCACATAATCAGCAATTTTATATAACAACATACATTTTTTCTTTCATCATGTCTAGTTTTTTGCTAAAAAAAAATCATATGCGAAAAGCTTTGCTTTTCAATTTGAAGAAATCGGCTGCCGAATCGCATCGAATGCTTGTGGAGGCCTATAGCGACAATTTATCGGAAACAACATGCAGAGATTGGTTTCGCCGGTTCAATAACGACAATTTTGACCTGAGTGATAAGAAGCGTGAAAATCGGCCCAGGAAGGTTGAGGACTGTCAATTGCAGGCTCTTTTGGACGAGGATGATACCCAATCGCAAGAAATGCTTGCCGAGCAATTGAGTATTTCTCAAGCAGCCATTTCCATGCGGCTACATGCCATGGGGAAGATTCAAAAGATCGGAAAATGGGTGCCGCATGAACTGAACGATAGGCTGAAGCGACGCCAAAACACATGCCAAATTCTGCTTGCCAGATAAAAAAGAAAGTCGTTCCTGCATCGGATTGTGACAGACGGTGAAAAATGGATCTATTTTCAGAATCCTAAACGCAAGAAATCTTGGGTTGATCCCGCCCAACCATCTTCCTCAAGACCAAATCGTTTCGGACGGAAGACGATGCTATGCTTTTGGTGGGATCAGGAAGGTATCTACTACGAGCTGTTAAAACCTGGTGAAACTGTTAATGCTCACCGCTACCACCAACAACTGATCAAATTGCACCGTGCTCTGCGTGAAAAAAAGCCGCATTATCGGAAAAGACATGACAAGCTGATTTTCCTCCACGACAACGCACCATCGCACACGTCAATAAAGGTCCAAAACTACTTGGAGACACTCAACTGGGAAGTGCTACCCCCCATCCCGTTTACTCACCAGACCTGGCACCTTCTGACCTTCTGTTTTCGTCGATGAGCCACGGGCTCGCTGAGCGGTACTTCGATTCTTACGAAGACGTCCGAAAATGGCTTGATGAGTGGTTTGCCTCGAAAGATGAGGAATTTTTTTGGCGTGGTATACATAAATTGCCCGAAAGACGGGAAAAATGTATAGTTAGCGAGGGCAAATACTTTAAATAAATTTGTTTTTGCTTCCTAGGAAAAAAAAAATGTGTTTTTCTGAACTAAAAAACAGCGGATTTAAGCTTATACACCTGGTGTAAGATTAAATTTCTTAAGGGGATCCTAAACCAAGAATCGACAATTGCAGATTGTCAATTTCTCCGAATTTATAGCCAATTGGCTTTATAGATCACCAAATCTTTTTACATAATAAAGGTACGCATAAAAAAAAATACTGAATTTAAGAAAATCAGAGAAAAAAATTAAAAATTCACTTTATTTCAGCTCTTATAGCTGTCACTTCATACTTTATAATTCCCATAGTGCAGAAATTCTATAGATCGTATGTACCAAATGATATCTTTCTCGAAAAAGTATAACATGCACAAACAATCCTGAGCTTGCAAAATTATATAATCGAAGGCTTAACAAAAAAAGTTTTTCAAAATTAAAGTTGTCTTTTTTATATAATAATTATCTTTTTCCTCTTTTACAAATTCAAAAATCGTTTTTCAATATTAAAGTATACATATTAATACAATACGTGTATGTGGAATTTATTTCAAGAACGATAAAAAATTTCGAAATTAAAATCTTAAGAAAATTTTTTTGTTGCTCGATAAATTCCAGTATACGTCTCACAGACACGCGTATACTTTAATCCTGAAAAAGGATTTTCAAATCTGTAAAAGAAGAAAAAAAATTGTAATATAAAAATTACGATTTAGTCGGTAACAGACAGCTTTACCCCTTAATAATAAAATTAAGGTCGGACTCTTTTGCATCTGAATAATTCTTTTCTTCATAAATGAATTTATTAGATTGATAAAAAATTTAATTCATAAGAATAAATCAAAGATCAACCAAATAAGACAAAGAATTCTATTTTTGATCAAAATAGATCTTGATATTTATAATATTCATATTTACAAATACATTTTCTCAATTCTATAAAGTGTGCACTGATTCGATTGATCGAATTTAAAGTGCAATAATAAACTGAAATCAAAAATAATAATCACATTGATTGTTAATTTATTATCAATTTATCACAAATTAATATATTAATCTTTTCTTTGAAAAAGACAAGCATCTAGAACTACAAAGGTTAATTTATTAGAAGTATGATTTAATTTTAAGAGTTTTGCAAGAAATGATATTAATGTCAGTGTTGTCGAAGACATTTCAATTATAGCTATTATTTCTTAATGCTTTAATATTACTCCATGATATTTAGTCGTTTGCTAACAACACAATAAACATCGTGTTTAAAAAAGAGTTTCCTAAAAAGCATTTTCGATGCATTGCTTTTATTTTTTAATCAGAAGAAAATGCTGACTGAAGGTCATAGAATTCTAATAGAAACTTATAGTGATGTTGCTCTATCAAGACATGTGAATATTGGTTCTATTGATTCAAATGTGATGATTTCAATGCTGAAAAATGCAGATTTGCAAGCATTATTGGACGAAAATTCAGCACAATCCACTTCAGAACTTGCCAGAGAATTAAATGTTGATCGTACAATAGTTATTAAACGTTTACGTGATATATATTGTTTAAATAAATCAGTTTTTGAGAAAAAAATTAAATTACACCTAATATCATGTACAGTCACGGACAGAATGATTGCAACACTTTTTTTCAATGAGTTTCGGAATTCAACCTTGCTTTTAAATGTAAATGAATTAAATCTTTAAGAAGATTCTTTAGTAAAGTGTCGAAAATTTGGGATGCCTCACCAGAGCTCAAAATTACAAATATCTATATAATTTAGATAAAATATTAAAACTATGTGTATATCTAATGAAATAGTATTGAATATACGAAAGTAAATTAAGAGCCTGCATCTTCATCGGACGAAAACAAGATAAGATAATGTTTACTTTTCAAGATTGAATTTATATGCAAGTTTATACACGTAAATAAATATCTTATCAGAATGGCCGTTTGACCTATTACTTTTTTGTGAATATTAAAATCGTAATTTTTTAAATTATTGTAATCTTGTTTTTGAGAAAAGCCTATGGTAAGATTTGTGTGCAGTTAATCACAGAAACGTTTGCAAGCATTATTTGTCACTAATTGTAAATTATACGTGGAAGGTTACATTTTCAATATTTTTTGTCTCTCTTATTTCATCGTTAACCTACCGAAGAATTTTACACATATCAATTTCGGTACTTCAATTTCATTATATAAAAAAATTATGTATTTCTATAGTAACTCGATTTATTAAAGAATTTATTAAAGAATAAGGCGAAGAATCGCCTTAGTAAGAACCAATCATTCATAAGCATTTGAATAAGCTACATTCCGAAACTCGAAAAAAAGTTACAACCGTTCTGTACAACATGACTGTACAACATTGATTTGAAATCTGAATGAAACGACTTACAGTGACTCTTTGGATCAAGACAAGTTAGCAAGTTTGTTCGACAAATTGCAAAATAAAATTAAAGCAACGTGACAAAATCAAGAGTCCACCGAGAGAAGGAAATGAAATAATGTTGAGAAAGAGAAAAGAGGAATAATGTTGAAGTTCGGGAAAGAAGGTCAACGTTGCGTGACACGAGGGGGAGGGGCAGGAAATTCAATTGCCTAATTGCTGTTAATTATTTAATCGCTCCTGAATAGCCTCTAACGCTTAAGTGCTCGCAAACCTTGCGTCATTTAAGCGACCCACCACGAACTCGAAAGTTTACAACACCAACGCGTTTCCTCTACTCTATTAAATTCTCGAACAATTTACCATAGAAATCGGCAATATTTCTGCAGACTGTACTGTACGTTCTACATTACACTTATAATAAAACTCTTAAATAACGTTTTGTCAGTTTAATCTCTAAATATGTTCCTTCTATTAAACTTTTAAGTTTTTTTTATAAATTAGCATAATTAATAATATTGTCCTTTTAAAAAGGACTTCTATAAACTCTTTCACTATAAATAATATTGTTTATTAAAAGAAATGTTTATTGGTTTATTTCATTAAAAACCATTTAATATTTAATTAAAAAATATTAAGAAGAATATATTTCTCAAAATTTAAGTTGTGATAATTCAATATACTTAATATATAACTCATCAATTAAATCTTCGATATATTCTTTCTATCAAATTATTAAGTTTTTTCTAAATAAATTTAATCCTATCCTTTTAAAAAAATTTTTTATGAACTCTTTCACTACAAATAATATTGCTTATTAAAAAAAATTTTTATTTTATTAAAAATTTTAAAAATTTTAAAAATATGTAAAATAATATATTTTTCAAGGCTTTCTTCTGACGATTGAATACACTTATACAGTTTGGAAATTGTTATTATCATGATATTTGTTTTAGATAAAAGGTAACTAGAAAGATAAAGAAAATAAAAAAAAGGATTTTAAAGAAAGACACTATCTTTTTAATGCAGATTTAATATAAATGAATTCGTAAGAAGTGGCAACGTCTATTGTAACCCATAAAAATTCCATCAGAATGTCCGGTGATGACAAATCATCTATCAAAGCGTAGGAAACGTCAGAAATGACTCGCGATTGCATTACCATACGTGTCCGATCGTCGATACATCGGCCAGCCATTAATATTGAAAAATGGGGTAATTTCGTATCTGGAATCGACGCGTGAGTGGAGAGACTGGAAGGGGTATACGGAGGATTTCCTAGATTGAAATAAAGTGGCTGTAGCACCACTGTGCGCCGCGGCGGATCATTTAGCGGTTTTGTCGAGCGACGGCCAATTGCCGGCATTGTCGCTTCGCTGTACCACAATGGGCCAATCGGAATGCTCTGTCTCTTTTCAACATCGTCACCCTTCCGCCAGTGGCCTCATGCAACCCCTCGTATTCATCCATGGTTACATACGTATAGAAAATGCATGCGTAAGTGTGCGTTCCTTCTCTAAATATATAGTTTCTTTGTCGCATACGTTAAAATAAAACAATCGAATCGGATGATTCTAAAAACATAATGATTTAAGAATATTCCTAAAAAAATCGATAAAAAATTCTTTTTTTATTTGATATTTGTTAAAAACAGTTGCTATATATTCTTTCTATACTCATTCATATGTAATATACACATATGTAGATATTTATATCCATTAATTTCATCACACTCAAACGAATTATCATTATCAGTTTATGAATAATTGGGGTTACCGATATAATTTAATTATTTATTCTGTACACAGCGACATTTAATTGTAAACTGGAATATTTCTTGCATTCTACGAAAATTAATTTGTGTTTCATATAATACGTATTAAAAGGAGATAAAGGGAAAGTACATACAAATGATCACGTACGAAACGATTCGTTCCGTTCTGTGAATTGAATTACACCCCAATGCTGCAACGTACTTGAATTTTCAAGGACGCCGGTTTAAAATCTAAAGCAGATTATTACTCTACACAAGGTATAGCTCTTCTTCTGTGAAATTAACTATTGACGAATTCGAAGCGTAGTGTTTCGCAAAATTACAAATGGAAAACGGCGGCACGATATTTCACGAAACAATAGTCTCTAATTAGTTAAGTGATTTGCGCCTTAAGGCTGAATCGCCAAAGTGTAATCCTGCAAGCGCTTAAGGATGCTTGTGATATTCCTCAAACTTTGCACAATCTACATATAAATCGATCCTCATGAAAATTGTTGCATGTGAAAATTAATCGACACTATTAATCATACATTAATCACTATATAATTCCATATAACCATTTTATTAAGACAAAAAATGTAAAAAATAATTCTTTGTAAGTAACAAAATAAATTTTTAAGTTCTTTCCGCGGTTTTAAGGTGCTAGTAGTAGCATTATTATTAAACAACGACCAATTTAATTGTAATATTATTTTAGCTTTTATAATATTATTTTAGCTTTATATATGATTGCATTTCAAGTTTAACAATAAACGGCGCACAGTTTATATAATTGAAAGATGTAGAATTTACATATAAAAATATTATTTATTTATTAGACATTAAGATCTATCAATCATACATTGGCTCTTTCCTTATTCATTTAAAAGCAATTTTGATTCATATAATTATAAACAAAAAAGTATTATAATAATTATACAAACATGTTTTGTTACAAACGTTATTTATACAACATTTTTTGTTTACATGGCTTATCGTTATGTAAACAAAAAATTATTGTACCACGAATTTTTTTAATAATCCTAATATTTAACATCAAATTACACGCGAATTTCAAGCCTTTTAAATTTTTATCCTGCTTACCGAATCTAAAACTCGTCATTAAAACTACTTACGAAACTTGCCACTATCAAATGCGCGAACAACTCAACGACACTCGCGTGCCTCACGGGCTTTGTGAATTCGTCCAGTCAAAGCGACGAAAGGTTAATTATACTTCTGCAACTGTCTGGCAAAATCTGACCTGACTTCTTTCCCTCATTCTCTTCAAGCCGCATTTGTGGAATATTTGAATCAGTCATTGCGAAAAGGGCATAAACTAGTATACTTCAAAGTATATGATAGTCGAAGTGTCGCGACTGTATTTTATTTTTCTGAAACACAATATTTAATGATGGTAAGAACATGAGAACTCATCGTTTTTTGATCGATATTAGACATTTGTTATATGACATTTGTTCTATTTATATACCTCTTATATTTTTATACCTGCAATATAGACAAAAATTGTACAGATTTCAAAGTTATAAGTTATCTAAATTTCCATTAAGATTATCCAGGTAAGATTACAAATCTTTCATATCTAATATTCTCATATCTTTCTTTTTCAAATTAAGAGCAGTTGTGAAATTTCTAGGTTACTTTGTATTCTTACTTCCTGTATAAATTATTTAAAATCCTTCCAATCTAACACATTCATTTTTCTTTTGTTAAATTGAGAGCCATATCATGACTAAACTTCCTAACTTACTTTATATTCCTACCTTTTTATCTAAATATTTGTAAGAATTTCTTTATTATCGTAATTTTTTTCATTTATATGTATATAATTCCTGTATTTTTATTTCCATAATATATGTAGAAAAGAATTACAGATCTCAAAATTATATGAATTTCTGTTTATATATATATATATGTACAACAGATTAATTCTCATATTTTACATCATATTTAAAGTTATATTTAATGATTTTCTTTATCTAATATATTCGTATACTCTTTTTCAAATTAAGAACCGTCTCATAAATCATGACTAGAGTCAATTTAAGGCAAACTGGCCCACCGGGTAACTGGACAAATATCCGATGAGCTCCTAAAACAAGGACCTAGAAAAAAATTGAAAACGCTTTTCTTGGAGTCCATCACATATGGATACTTCTGACAAGTATTTTTTTGATGCCCTGGTTAATTTTGTCGACACTATTTAATTTCAATTGTTGAAGATATGACGTTATGTTTGAGTATTACTTTAAATAAATTGCTATTTATTAATATTTAAGTAAATAAATAAATAAATATAAAAATATATAAATACACAAATAAATAAACAAATAAATATAAATAAACAAACAAACATTTAATTAAAAAATTAATAGTTATTTATTTGTTCATTTAATTATATGCGTGGCATGTCTAAAACTTGCTTCTTAAAATACGGGGCTCCACTTCCGTACATTTTTGGTCCAGCCCCTGGCCAGCCATATATTTTTAAGAGAGTACATGCACTCTTTTTAAAGTCGTAAAACTTTTGATCATTCATTAAAATTGTACATTTATAAAATTATATTAATAAGAATTGTCAATAAAAATTATATTCTAGAAATTTTATTTTATTAAACATATAATTTCTTATGCAAATAATGCTTAAAAAATTATATTCCCTCTTCTATTTCATCTCTGGATCATTATCTTTTTTAAAAAGTGTACTTTTTTCTTGTAATCCAGATATGATAATCCTAGCAGTGACCTAAACTTTCCAATTTATGTTATATTTTTATCTTCCTATCTAAATATTTGCAAAAATTTTTCTTATCAACTTATTATCATAATATTTTCCATTTATACATTTCTATTTTTATTCCCGTGCGTGCAATATAGATAAGAATTATATAGATTTCCACATTATATAAATTTTTGTTTATATAAATTAAAATCCTCATATTTAACCTTATATTTAACTTTCAAATCTATACTCATAGATATACCTTTTTCTTTTTATATGAAAAACTGAAAACCATTATACCTGCCAAGCTCGTTTGGTATCTTACTGCATTCCTACATAGATTACTTAAGATCCTTTCTATCTAATACACTCATATCCTTCTTTTCTGACATTAAAAGCCGTTGTAAACTTTCCAGCTTATTTTGTATTACTATCTTCCTATCTAAATATATATATTTGAAAGAATTTCCCATTATCGCAATATTTTTCTTATTGTGCGACATACGTTCTTTCTTCAATGTTGAATTGTTAGTGAAGAATACCTGTACTCTAGCTTCCGAAAGATCCAGCCTCATTGCCAGCTCCTCCCTGGTGAACACATCCGGATACTGCGTGTTCCCAAAAGCTTTCTCAAGCTCATGCAGCTGATAGGTCGTAAAAGTTGTACGCGATCTTCGCACCTTGCGTGGTCGGTCGGACTCACCCAGATTTAAGGGATCGTGCAGCGCGTCGTTGATTTGATGATCGCTCAGGTGACCGAGCTCCATATCGCCACCATCAACCACAGCATCAGACGATGTCGCATGGTCTGAAATCAGTGATACGCAAATTCTAAAGCGCACGTCGATCTCATCTTGATTTCCTCAAAGAATATTTTTTAACGAAAAGTTTCAACAAAGAATATTATTGATTATCTAATATTAATCTTCAATATACGTAACGTAATTTTCCGATCCTTTATTTTTACGAAAAGAATAGTTTTACTAAAATATCTAAAAATATTTAGAAATAGGTAAACATCTTATTCTTCGAATAATTCCGCACAACGTTTATTTTGTTTTCATAAAAAGGAAAATATAATTTGATATTTTTACTATGAGTTGATAGGCCGTAAAAAATTCACAGATTCGCAGATGCATATTACCATGTTCACCATCAAAATAATTATTATGTAGAATGCTCAGGCTAATTGTTAGAATGTCAAAACTTTTATAGCCTCGCTATTCTACTTAAGCGTTCTGTACAATTATTTTGACAGTTCAACAAAATTATTTTCATATCTGTTTCTGGCTAAATTTTTTAATATTTCAGCAAAATATTTCTTTTCATCTACACACGATGAGTTATTCGTGTCTGGATTAATGTTCATTACTTATACAAATATATAAAAATTATTAAGTGATTTTTACATATACTTTGGCATCTTTAGAAAGTATTTATAAGATTATGTGTTTTTAAAAAAAGAATAGAATCCACTATTTAGCCAGATGCTCTTAGTATTTCAAAGAACAGAAATACACAAGATGCAAACGCATTATTTTGTGTGTGTGTGTGTGTGTGTGTGTGTGTGTGTGTGTGTGTGTGTGTGTGTGTGTACTAAGGATTAATAATAATTTAAAACCAATAATAAAAAATACACTAAATGAATTAATGTATTTAACATAAAATTTCTTAAGATATATTTACTTTATTTAGAGCCACATGTCAAACATAACGTGCTGCAATGTGATATCAAAACAAAGGAACTTTTATAACTAATCGAAAGGAAGATTATGTTCCGTAAGACGCGAGAATTTGTAATCCTCGAAATTTATTTGGCATCCTCGCCTGTTAAACGCGCGTATATGTCAAACGGTACGTCCGATACTTGAGCGCGGGAAACGATCGGGAGGCGATTAAGCCATATCGCTCGCGTTGCCAAAACGAAATTGTCGTTTTGCCTGATATGCCAACTCTGGCGGCGGTGGCGGCGGCGGGGAGATACGGGCGCAATTTCATTTTTAAGCCGCACAACGACCGGTGCCGATATAACCGATACGCCGATGACGTCCGATCGGCGGATTTGCCAATTTTTAAGCCTCACCCGACGCTTCATTCTCTCTTTTTTTTTTGCACCGCTCCATACATCTGGCGGCGTCCGCGTGTACACGCCCGCGAAATACCCTACAAATGTAAGTGCGCACATTATACGTATGTGCTCGACAGTACTTAAAAGCCGTCGCTGTCAGTGATTAGCAAATATCACGAGTGCATACTGCCTACACCCTTCCATCTCCTTCTCCTCTCCCTCTCGCGATACAGCAACAAGCCTTGCAACCCCTCCCCCCTCCCTCTCCAATGCAACGCATACCCTTCCAGGCTTTCTGCGATCGCATCCCCCCGCCTCGTACCCCAGTCATATTTCCTACCATGATCACTTGTTTCGTCTTTGCGCAAGCATTAACGAGGGCTTAAAGCCCTATTAAAGTAAACTACACATAGACATAATAGTCGGATACATAGTTATCGATTCGTTTCAGGTGAGAAATCGCATGATATGTTGATTTTAAAATAAATGTTTCTTGCGATCATAGGATAATCACGCATGGAAGGTAAAAGTTTATGAGTGAAAGATAAAAATTTTATGATAAAATAGTAGAATCTTCTCGAAAGTTTCGGAGCAATTAATTTATCAATAAAGTAAAAAATTATATTTATATTATTATAATTTATATTAATAAATAGAAAAAAAATTATTATTTATATATTCTATTTCTCGTATTTAAAAAAAATTTAGATAATTGACGATTATCAACGACGATTATTTCAACGACTTTGCCATAAAACTTGCAACAGTCAAACTCTACAACGGTCAAATCAATACGCAAAAAAACGTTTGAAAAATGCTCGTGCATATTGCACGAACGCTCAAATAATAACAAATCGGTTGATCTGCATATAATTTCAAAAGGCACTTGACGGCGTTAAAAATAAATTCATCGTAACGAGTTTTAAAAACGAAACTCGCAGAGAACGAGCCATCGGCATGTGATATATCATACCGCGAAGATATCATACCGAGCGCAGTATTCGCGTGAGCAGAAAAGTGCGGAAATATCTCACGGATTCTCTTCGTAAAAATATATCGTGATAATGTCGCGGCGAAAGCAATGTAGCAATGTAGGTAAAAATCGAGCATTGCAATAAACCTTGTTACCTCTTTGACACTTGTAAGAAGCGATATATTGTGTGTATATATACACACGCGCACGCGTCACAAATTGCCACGCGATTTATTATTCCTCTTTGAACTTTCCCTTGTCGGTAATCTTGATAATAATACACACGCGATCTTTCTCTGATTTTCTCGTCTTTTGCGAGACAAGCATCTTTCTATAGATCCCTTACAAAATATCGAGATACTTTTCATGCGGTTAAACTTTTTTGCAAAGAATTTCGAAATGGCACGCAGTCGGCACGTCTTTTTTTTTTAATATAATATCACCAAAGTTTATCAGTTATCAGAAAATATTTAATTTCATTTTTTATTTTATCTTATCTTTAGCCGTGATATCTTATATATAAGAGAAATACAATATTTTACATAAATGCAATACTGTTAAGTCTGCATGCTGTAAACGACTCGAACATTCGATCTATTGATGAAACCGACATGGATTGCGCCCTCATTACTACCACGAACTAGGCTAATTATTAATTAGCTGACTACGTATAGCTCTTTAGATTAATATACCTATTATAATTGGATAACGATCTGAGACCGAAGCGGCAACTACAAAGCTATAACTTCGTCTACATCCGCTTACGTGCACATACCTCGACTAGATTCACATTAAATTATAATCTGCTTCGTAAACGTTTCTCTCGAAATCAGTTCACATTACACTGTGCCACATCTTC